TCAGTGTATTTAGGCCAGTAACCAATCATTTAAATTTCTTTTATTTATTTATCATATATCAATTTATATGTTATTGGTAATTGGAAGACATTTTTTAATATTAATTATTCATAAAATATCTAACTACCTTTGGATTCAAGATAAATCATGTGTATATCAATCAATGCTACATTAATTATCTTTTCCATGATATTAAACATCCAATATTTGTTTTAATGTAAAATAGAATCACAAGCTAATCGATAATTGAAAATTTGATACAATAATAATAATATTTTAAATTAAATTATCAATGTATATCAGGTTATTTTTACTTCTCCATTAATATAGATCGTTTCTCCACTATTAAAACACACACAAACAAGCATTATTGATATTGCTTTTACTTATATAATATTTACATTTGTCTATATTCTTTTTCACCATATTTACGATACATAATTTCCCATCTGCCTACCTTCATACCATTCATATTATACTCACCATTATAAGTAACCAAATTATTTAGATAAAACCCTTCACCCAATTCTACCCACTTTCCAATCTTTTTCTAATCTCCATTATTATCATATGATCCACCTCCACTATATACCTTGAGCTTATATAATATTTACATTTATATATATCCCTACCAATTATATTAACAAAATAATATATCCCATCTCTCTATTTTCACACCATTTATATTATATTAACCATTATAAATGATCTATTTTTCATCATTAAATCCTTCAACCAATTCTATCCATTTTCCAATCTTTTTCTAATTTCCATCATTATCGTATGATCCACCACTATAAACCTTTCGCTAATATATTTACATTTATATATAATCCTTTTCATCCTATTTACGATACAAAATTTCCCATCTACCTACCTTCATACCATTTATATTATACTAACCATTATATGTTACCTTAATTGGATTATATTTTCCACAAAAAAATCCATCATCCAATTCTACCCAATCTCCAATCTTTTTCTAATTACCTTCTAAATCATATGATCCACCACCACTAAAACGCAATTCCTTATACTTTTAAATATTTACATTTAATTTCGTTCATGCAGAACATCCCATCTACCTACCTTCATACCATTCATATTATAATCGCCATTATAAGTGACTTATTAATAAGGATGAAACCTCTCATCCAATTCAATCCATTACCCAATCTTTCTCTAATTACCCTCTAAATCATATGATCCACCACCTCTAAAATACATAAAAGTAAATTTTTATATTCCTTATACTTATATAATATTACATTAAATCTCCGTTATAGACAACAACCCACCAACCTACCTTCATACCATTCATGTTATATTCACCATTCAATGTGATCGATGTCTGAGAATTAAAACTTTCATCCAATTCGATCCACTTTCCGATCTTTTTCGAATTACCTTCTAAATAATATGATCCACCACCACTAAAATACATAATAGTAAATTTTTATATTCCTTATACTTATATAATATTTACATTTAATGTCGTTCAAGCAAAACATCCCATCTACCTACCTTCATACCATTCATATTATATTCACCATTATAAGTGACTTAAGCATAGCAGCAAAATTCTTCAAATAGCTCTATCCATTTTCCATGCTTCTATCCCTTATAGTTATAATCGCCTCCGCCACTAATTTTAATTATTCGAATTACATCTCTTTATCAATATATTAATACTTCCAAAAACCTTTTCTCTTATCATTTTCATATTCTCCAATCTCATAGACCATAGCTTTACTATTAAATGTAAAATTATACATCTAGTCGAATAATTTTAAAATAATTCCATCCATCTTCCTTCTTTTTTACCATCATTCTAATACTTTCCGCCCACTCCTTCTATAGGCTCTCCATTCCATGTTGCTGTCCAAAAGCCTTGCTTCCTATTGTTTGCATATTCCCCTGTCCATTTTAAATATTTTATTTATTCTAAGTTCTCTAGCACTTATGGTTTTTGGGAAAAAGTTTTTATTTCATCACTAAATAGAGTAGATGTCATTTTAAATTACCTTCTAATAATTGTTCCATCTTTTGTGTATATGATGCTATCTTTATTTACAGTTACTTAATATTTCGTTCTTATTGGTATTAATGTATCATTTTATATCCAGATTAATTTATTGTATTCTTTGGTTTCTTCTTGCACTTATAACATTTCTTATTAAGAATTATTCGATGGAGGTCTAAATATTAAACAAATAATGACCTAATCAATTAAACTTCTTTTTCTTGAAGTTCAATTTTCAAGTCCAAATTATAATTAAGAATCTGAGGTAATTAGAAATCAAAAACTTCTATAAAACTTTAAAATTTGCTTAACCTTCTATTTATTCTTCTTTCAGTAATAAATTTAAAGAT